GCCCTTCGATCTATAATATTCTTCGTTTTTTTCATTCTCTTTCAGTTTCTACCTATTTCTTTGTTCTTTTTTTTTTGCTCATACTTCCGTTCCACTACTTCTGTTTCACCGTTCCAGAGTCCCGTCGATCCTACGTGACTTCCTCGGCCCACCAGCGCGCTTCCGTCGACGCGATCGTATTTTCGTCGTGTATTTTTCATCGCGGCGGTTCTGCCGCGCTCCGTTTATCCGCCGTTCCATCGATTCTTAAGAGAGAGGAGGTAGAAAAAACAGCGAAAACGACGAGAAAGGCCCGCTTCTGGGCCGTTTTTTTTTTTATTACTAGAAATATTACACGATAACGCGCGATGCGACCCGATATATTCATGCGAGACGCGACGCCGGTGGAAATCGACGCGTGACGGAGGACCGCGATGAAAAGCGGTGACGAAAAAAAAATTGGACGTTCTGGGAACGTCTCGAAACCGAAGACGAACGGAACCACTCATTGTTTATGTGCTCAGTTATAAGTGACGAGTACGAGATAAAAAAAGGGAAAATGTTATACAGAACGGAGTTTATCCACTTAAAAACGGAGTAGATTCGAGACAATTTTAAAATCGTAGAAGGCTCTCTAGGAACTCACTTCGAGCGCCTCGAAAAACCTGTTTTCTCTTTTTTTTTTTCGTGAAATTACCACGACCTAGTACAACAGTAACATTACAATAAATATTTGTAATAAATATAGCGCGAAGGTGTAAAAGTTAGACGAAGTGGTAACCGGAAGTACCTAACATTCTCGAGGACGTGAAGCGAAAAACACTAAAGGATTACATATGCATAGAGAAGAGGTTAAAAATCGATTCAACGTCTCGGATGAAACATCGTCTATCGACGGAAATGAACAACCAAGAAAAAAACAACAATCTAGTTTGGCACTGATATAGATACGATTCGAGCTGAAAAATTCTGTAAAGAAGCGGAACCGAGGGTGTCGTCGCGTGGTGCATATCGAGATTCTGTTTCCCCCCTTTCCTCGATCTAACATCGAGCGCGCGCAATTGTCCTTTATGGGGGACACGTCGAGTATACAAGGGATACTCTTGTATCGAATATAAGATCACGTTTAAAATGCTTCCATTCCGTCTCGACAGCCTGCGAACACGCTGTGTTCCCGTTTATCGGGACACGTTAAAAATGAACAAAAAAGAAAAAGAAAAAATGAACACGAAAGACGCGATTAGAAGACAAACGCGTCACGTTAGGACCGATTCCTCGTGAATTCTCGAAGGCGAGCACTTCCGGCGCCAGGTACAAGCAGCGTGCGGCTGTGGCCCAGACTTATGTCGGATAGTAGCAAGAACACACATTAAAAATCATAGAAGATCAACGTTATTTAGACGTGTTATGCAAGTGGCTGTCCGTTTTACCATTCCCCCGTTGGATCGGAACCAACGAATCAGATCATTTATTTTTTTTTTTTTTGGACATTCGTTCCGCATCATCCCCATAACCTCTCTCTCTCTCTCTCTCTCTCTCTCTCTCACTCTCTCTCACTCTCTCTCTCTCTCCGCGCCCCTTAAAACACCTAATTCGTTTAATCGCTTGTTTTTTTCTCCCTCTACTTATGTTCCTATTTCGCCAACGTGGACTCGCGATCCACGAGGACAGATTTGGTCGATCCCTGTCTTTTTCCCCCGAGTCAATTCTCCGTGAATCGTTTCTCAGCCTGGTCTCTCGGTTTTCCTCCCGTTTCGACAAAATTCGACACTGCGCGACTGGCTGGAGCAAGGGTTATTACGCATTACACGTCCGAAATGGAGCACACATGTCATGGTTTCGTTATTATTCATTGTTTTCTTATTTTCTTGTGTATGTATATGTGTGTGTGTGTGTGTGTGTGTGTGTGTATTGTTTTTTGTTTCGGTAATGATATTACGTGTACAATATACGTTTATAGATCGTTCACGAGATTCATCCCTGGTGATTCCGTCGAGCGTGCCATTTTTTGTTACTCCTGCAATTTTTTTTTTTTTTAAACATTTTCCCGCGACATTTATCGGCCTGATAGCGTGACGCACGATCGTTCGTGACAATATGGCGAAGTAATCGGCGAAGGTATCGTTCGATGAGTTTAAAACACGACGAGGTGACGAACGCGCGCGCGCGCACACGATGGAGGAAGTTTAAATCGATGGAAGAGATCGCGTTCCCGAGTAATCGAGATTAAAATAGTCAGGGGAATCGCGAGGTTTTTTTCTGTTCTTTATAAAAAGAGAATCGAAACTCTCTTGCTTGGCAATACCCGAGGAGCATCCCCTTCTATGGATCGATTGCACTGAATTTTAACTAGGGAAAATCCCGATCGCCGGCTGTGTTCCCATGAAACTTTGGTCGATGAACCCATGGAATTCAATTTTATTCCGTTCTTCTGGATTCGAATGTATTTCTGCTTAAATTATTCAGCTCCAAAGCTTCGCGTAATTAAGATCAACTGGCCTTGGACAAAAGGAAAAAAACAAATAAACTATTTAAGTTAACTACTTTTATCGTCTGTTCGATATATTGTTCCATTTTCTGATCCGGATTAGCTGATCTTGGACCGGAATACCTTCTCATAATCTCCAATACCGTTTGGAATTAAAGAGAATGAAGAAATCCGTTTGGAACTCTTATGGAAAACTGAATTCCGGAAGGTCCCATCTAAACTTATTATTACAAAATGGTATAATGTCTAGTAAATTTTTAATCATTTTTAAAATCAGTAGGAATCGTACAGTCTCGAAATATACTCGATCCGATCACGATAAACCGTGTTTATAGAATTTTATCTGATCCGATTTCATTAGATCCTTTTTAGAGCACATACAAAATGTGTAGATATACGATAATACGTAAAGACGTACGAGAGTTTACGAAAAGTTTTAGTAAATTTACAGAACGTTTAACAAAATTTCACGAAAGTTCAACAGGACTACATGAAGAATTACAAAAATAAACAACAAGAAAAAATAAAAAATTTATTTTTATATGTTTATTTGATGTATGTGTTTGTGTGTGTATTATATGTAAATTTATATTTGATTGGTGGGTGGGTTCCGGGTCCGTTTCTCAAGAACACAATCTCGAAGCGATCATACCAATGAAAAAATAAAAATAAAGAAAAAGAAACGACGACATTCCTTCACCGTGCAAAACGTTGGGTGATGGCGATCGATCGCAAGTAACAGACACATATCTCAATGCTTCGTGATCCGCAAAAAAGGACTCGCTCGACTTGCAAAATTTTATTCCTGCGAAACATGAACGATGCGTAACACGCGAGCGACACGCGTGTGGTGTGTGTGTGTGTGTTTGTGTGTGTGCACGCGCGGCGATAAACACCGTATCGTATCCATAGGTAATAATAATAATGATAATAATAGTAGTAATAATCAATTAATCAATTAATTAATATATATGTATATATATATACACATATAACCACCCTGTCGCGGGGATGCCCTTGCACCACCCAGGGCGGACACCTTAAGAACCTAGTAAATCCTAAAACCGGAAGCTCCGCCGTACCGACAGGCCAGCTGCCTTTTTTTTAATCTTTTTTAATTTGCTTCAATTTTTTTTGTTTCACATCTCTCTCTCTCTTTCTCTAATCGCCCCCCCCCTCACGTTCATTCCATTCCCCGTGGTATCTCAGCTCCCCCATTGATTCTTCCGTTTTAAATCGTTTTGTTTTGGCGGAGACAGACGCTCGTCCTCTGTATTCTCGACCGATCGTTCGCCCCGCGTGGAGGGCCCCCGGCGTTCCCGTGCTCGAAACCCTTCCCGTCTTCCCTGTCTGTCGATCCAGAATGATACGGTGCCCCCGTAGTATGGTATACAGGCTGTCCCAAAATAGCTTTGGCTCTCGGAAATGAGGGGTTTCTGAGATAATTTGAAATAACTTTTTCTTTAGCAAAAATGTTATCCGAGGCTTTGTTAACGAGATATTAACGAAAACCCCCGACCAATCAGAGCGCGAGTCTGCCGCCGAGCTTCCGCGGTAGCGTTGTCTACCAATCGCAGCACGTAGTCGAAGTTGTCGTGGAAGCTCGGCCGGCAGACTCGCGCTCTCATGGGTCGGGTTTTTCGTTGATATCTCATTAACGAAGCCTCGGATAACATTTTTGCTAAAAAAAAAGTTGTTTCAAATCATCTCAGGAACCCGTCATTTCCGGAAGTCTAAGATATTTTGGGACACTCTGTATATGTGTATATGTATGTTTATGTCTGCCCACATCGCGCAGGAACGTGAATGGATCCCTGGTGTGTGTATGTGTGCTGTCCTCAGGATCGAAGACTCGAGAACGATTCCTCCGGAGTTGGTCAACGCTGACACACGACCCTTCCAGTGAAGGGTGCACACCATATACATATATGTATACATATATAGTATGTATTTCTTCCCTCACGCTCCCTTTTGTCCTTCCTCTGTATGTCTCCACGCGGTTCCCGTTTACAACCATCGTTCCATCTTCTGGCCTTATACGCCGTCCCAACAATCCATCTCGACGCGATCCTCCATCGTCGTCGCGACACAGAGCTCCATTTTGGTTTTATCTTCGCGCGTTCGTGAAACGTGCGTGCCCTCTTGTATACGGAGTCGTCATATTCCCGACAGACTCGCGCTACATATACCTATATATATATACATATATATATATATATATATATCCCTATTCTCGTGATGACATTCCCGAATCGAGGATTCTAGGTGACGATCCAACGGGACACAGCGAGCAACGGCAACAGAAGATCGCTCGAGTGGTAGTCATGGTAGTCGTCGTTGTTGTTTGGTAGCAACAGGACAAAAGGGACAAGGGAACGCCCAGCGTGCAATCCGTCCCGCGTGGCGAACGTTACACACGTCGACACGGACACATCTCGAGGAACCTCGTCGCCCGAAGACGCGATCTGTGGCGACTGCTGCAGCAGCAGTTGCAACCGCCAAAGCGACTACGACGACGACGACACATGTTGTCCGCTTCGATCCCACGTCGACGAGTGTGTCTGTCGTCCTCTTTCTCTTCACGATCCTTCTCCTCCTCTTCCTCCTCGTCGCGGCCCCGACGACATCCTCTTGACTCGACGAACAGTGCACTAGCGATAACAACCGGGGGGGAGAGACGAGCAATGGTTTGGATCTTTCGGTAGCGGTGGCGGTGACAGCGCTGGGATCTTACGACCCATCCTTGCCACCTGAAACAGGTACGATCGAGGCTCGTCTGTTTTTTTTTCCGTTTTTTTTTTGCGCGTGGGAGCACACTATGCCGACCGGGGATCTATCATGCTTGTATTGTCACGAGCAAACTCGACTTCCACTCGGGGAACGCATCGCGTCGGACAAGGGTCTTTTAACATTTAGTAAATTTATTTCTACCGAAGTAAATCTTCAACCAAATGTTAATTTGTCCGTATATTTTAGCAATTCCCGAGATCATGTGGTAGCAAGCACTTCCTCTATGTTTTTTTCCCCTATCGGAAACCGAGTTTGCACGTCAGTGTACACGGGAACACAGTATTCGGTTGCTCAGACCATGTCTTTTGGGGAGTTAGCTCAGACTAGGGGTTTTCAAACTTTATTTTTCGCGGACCACTCAGATAGCTACACTGTTATTTACGTTATTCTGGTGGATTTATGTAAGATTGCATGGTTGATCGAAAATGATAATAAATATTAACCTTCGCCCGGATAGAAGAGCCTGTAAGGCTCTTTCATTATATCATAATGAAAAATATAATAATATACATAATAAATAATAAAAAATGTAATGTTACTATTTTACTAAATAAATAAAGTAAATAAATAAAAAATTTTAGAATTATTAATCTCAGCTCTTCTATACTGACAGACTCCGATGCTTTTTTCCATTTTATCCTGACGAAGGTTAAGTGTAGCTAGGAAGATCTCGGTAGAAGCTCCTTACTTTGGACCAGTGATGGACATACAGTGAGGTGGCCACTGATTGTGCCACATTTATATCAACCACTAGAGTTAGAGAATATGCAAGGGAATGTGAACGAAGATAAATATGTTGTTACAACGAGAACTGATATCGAGGTAACGTACGACAACAGAATACTGTGCACATAAGTGTCTATAAATTGCTCATCGTTGACATAAACGTGTATCGTGATTTACTTCTAGCTCGACCATTACGTACAATATTTTCGCAATATTCCCTCCCTACAGCTGTACTGTTTGTGACTGACGATGCGATTACAAAGAGTAATGGTGAAAATTAATATTCACTTCCCAATATGGCGGGGACAGCAATAACACTGACACTTATAGGGAGAGATTTACTGTATAATTATTGTGAACCTTTCGCTGCTACGATCGTGTTCTTCTCCTATATTCTCAGGCGACGGCCTGTTAATGGCTGCGTCAACCGTTTCCGAGCGTATCCAGTGGCCCGAGGTCCGACAATAAACGGCCGCAACTACTTTGCCTCTAATTCTATTGAGCCACGGACAGTTACCGCGATGACAATATCGTTCAAACTTTGATGAATGTTCGGAAGTTTGCTAGACTGCTCCGGAGTTTACGGGGCCGGCGGACTCGACGATATGAATTAGTAACACGGGACAACATCTTACGTCATTTACATTAACCGTCCACGATGCAGCTTTCTCGAGTGACCCGAGACAAATTCAACGTTATTGCGTATTCATTTTTTAGCAACGTTTCCATCTTGTATCTAAACGGACAAAATGTTAAAAAAAAAATCAAAATCTCCTATTTTTATGAGTTAACATATAAAAATGTGAATTCGTGTAACTTTCTTCAGTTTAGTACCAAGATTGAAACTCCACGAAACATTCCGAGTTAATCGCTTAAGGACATAACCCGAGTTAGCCCGATTTTGCTATACCTAATATTGAATTTCCTTTACTCCGAGTTTAATTTATTCAATAACGTGTATGTTTGTGTGTTTCAACGTTACCTATTTTTGTTTTCCTGATAATACTCAAGACTTCATATTGATTTCAATTCAAACAGAATTCACCAAAAAAAAAAGTTCAGTCTTTAAGCGTTCAAACGATTCGAAAGCTATGCTCGTAGCAGCGAAGGGATTAAAAATCTCTATTATTTGAGATACAATCACCGTCAGCAGAATGAGGATTAGAAACCTCCGTCGCTCGAATGATAATCACCGTCAACGATGAACAAACAAACGTTTACCAACAACATGCGTATATACCCAAAAGGTCGACAGAGTGTTCCCGTTACCCGGCACATGCAAGACATGCCACGAAGCTTGTGAATCGCGGCGTGTCGAACACCAAGTTTAGTCGTGGTTGTCGATGAGTTGTTAGTTACGATGAACTGGATTCCCGGTGACATTGCGCCGGGTTTGTGCGATTCGTGCATGGTTAACAGAGTTCCCATGGGTAGCTACTTTGAACTGTGAACTTGGCGAATTTTTCTAGAGATCTACGGATCTTACCCTGCTAAGGCACTAGAGAAATGGGTATGTTCATCCGCCATTTTGGGTCCAGGTGGTATCTTCCATTCCTTTCTCTCTCCAGAGAAACTAAAATGGCGGCTGAACATACTCACCTTTAGAGTGTCTTAACCCTTGAGTAGGCAACCGACGTACCCAAGTACCCATTCCTAGATTTCCTTTCACAATTTTTTGGGTTCTTGTCTGAAACAGTACTTCTGATATTATAAGGAAAAACTAAGAGTTTTGGAAAAGTATGAAAGTAAAATTATCTATGTTCATCTAATCTATCAGAATCTTTTGGTTGCCCACAAAAGGGTTAACCTGAACTCTTTGTAGACTTATCCATCTGGACCTAAAATGACGAATGCGAATACCTTCCTCTCTAGTGCTCTAGTCTCGCGTAGGTAGACCATGTGCGACCTGCACACCGTGTGGCGCTTATTAGTACTAATCGATGTTATTACATAAATGAATATACAAATAACAACTTAATAAATACAAATATGCACATAATAATATTTATATACAAATTTGTAGGTATGAGGTGTAAAAATTAATTCGTGGCTCCCACAATTATTTACTGATTCAGAACCGCCATTATTTTTACGAAGGGGAATTCGTCAACTGTCCCCGAAATGGCGTAAATGTGTAGAAAGTGATGGGAGATGTTTTGAAAACTATTTTTTTTTGTAAATAACAATATTATATATATAAATATCCATATATTTACGCATACGTGCTTCGTTATGTTGCCACGGATAAGTACCAATAAGCGCCAGGGCGCTCTTAGATTTCTACAAAAATTCGCCAAGTTCATGGCTAAAAGTAGCTACCCATGGGAGCTCCGATGGTTAATTCGAGGTGATGACTGTCTCGTGGTGAGTTTTCTTTATTTTTGTTCGATACACGATCACTCGTGGAAACGTTTTCCGTCGACAACTATTCGAATCTCTGAAGAATTTCTCCGTGAACGATTGTCATTCGACTCGAAACAGCTCGAACAACGTTTCGGTCCGCAACGGCGAACGATCCCCGCTGGTACGTGCCCCGTTGGGCAACGTTCGCCGTCGTCGTTCGTCGATCAAGGACCAAAGATCCTGATCCATACGGCGCAGAAATAGAACGAGAAAAGAGAGATCGAGAACGGAGAGGGATCTCCCTCGGTCAGGATCGTCCACGTGGCCGTGATGTGTACCTTGATTGGACGAGTGTGAGGCTCACGATTGCGGTTGCGGTGTGTTGTGGTCCCGCTTGTCTCCCGCAGAAGCCGGCGGCTTTATCACGGGCTTCTCCTCGTTCACCGGCGTGGGCGGGGCGTCCTTTCTTGGCGGCATCCTTTCGTTTATGGCGTCGAGACCCTTCGCCTCGGCGAACGAGGTGATTTTGTGGTTCGGCGAGAAGCCTTGGAGTGCTGGAAAACCAACGAACAACGGTCAGAACGTCTGAATTTTCATGGAATTTGGCAGTCTGTTATTCGCTTTACAAAAATTTTAGGGAAAATTCCGAGGAAATTGGGAAAATAATCGGTAAACTTTTCGTAGCGATTAATTCTATCAGAGCAGTTACAGAAATGTTTGCCCTTTAACACTTTAACTGCCACATCACCCCAATATAATAATAGTAATATATAGGGTGTCCTATTTAAATAGATCCATTCGAATATCTCCGAAACTGTTGACGATACTAAAAAATGCTTCTGACAATAGTCGGAGATATTCGAGTGGGTTGATTTAAATGGGACATCGTGTATGTTTATTTACAGACGGGTTATGAGCGTTTTGGTATAATATACAAGTATACGCAAGTCTGGAGAACAAACAATATGTTTAGATGTACAATAATACGTAAAGATGTACCAGAGTTTACGAAAACTTATAGTAACTATACAGAATGTTTATCAAAATTTCACGAAAGTTCAACAGGACTACATGAAGAATAAAAAAAATAAACAAAAAGAAAAGATAAAAATTTACAAATATATTTCCAAGAATGTACAGAAAGTTACGTTTTTGTAGAAAGGAATGCGTAATTAAGGATAAAATAACGAGTAACGGAATTAAGAACGGAAAAAGAGAAAGAACTATATAAGAATATAGAAAATTAACAAGAAAATATAAGAATACACAAGAATCAAAGTTACGTATAGGTAATATGGGCGACGCGTACATTACAACGACGTTGGATTATTTGAATATTGTTACCATATTTTTGCATGAAACTAATATAACAGTATACTTTAAAACAGGACCAACAGCCTCTATTTACGTTTTTGACGATCTTATTTTTTCGACGATTTATGACTTAAAAAACGAAATAAACTGTGTCTAGCTACGTAGGCCCTTTTCACAGTGGCAGTCAACGTGTTAATTATGTTTTATCGGGTCTTTATTATGCCCTGGCGTAGTTCAGGTCAAATTTGAAACAATGATATTTGTTTTTTACTTTGTCGAGTTAACGAGCTTTGCTTCAGACGAAGACTCAACTGATGCTATCGATTTCAATGCAAAGTGGTAACGTGTCTCTCAGTAGTACGAATCAATAACATGTCCAATCCATGGACCTCTCGGACAATACTGTGGAGGATGTTTCAGAGACACAAGATACAGGAAATCTGATCCAGAATTAATGTTTCGAATACTGTATGCAGGGTACATAGAGATTACGATAGCAAGATATGCGACCATTGCAGTGTTTAATAGATATTCATCAGATCAAAGATCTGCATTGGTGACATTCGAAGACTTGCAGTTTTTTTTAACGAGTTCATTACCTAATAAGTATACTCCGGATTTTTACGCGAAATGACATTTTCTAAAGCAATTTTTTACGGCAACAGCAAAGGTAGAAATTTATTTTTTCTCTTAAATATTTTACTGGCTACAATAGAAAATATATTGCGTCTGACGAAAGTTTCTTCGCTTTTGTATTTCACATAAGCCTATTGGCTATAAATGCGTAAAATCGGCAGTTTACTAATAAATTGAAATAGTTTAGATGAGAAACATGATGTTTACCGTTGTGTAGAGACCTCTTGCCACCCGACAACGCGCCAAGCGGTAAAGCTCCAGTCGGTGTCAGTCCCTTCAGCTGTAACACGCTCTCGCTCTCCTCCCTGAAAATAACGAGCACAAAAAAACAAACTGATAAATGAACACGTTAAACGACAAATAAAAATCCTATTCCACGATCGGGAGAGATCGTTAAACGGTCTGTATTTAAAACGTTGGCTGATCCTCGGGAATTAATTCGTTCGTGGCGGCGCGTTTAACGATTCGCGTGAATATGTATTTCGCGATCGGGAGTTCTATCCTCCGATAAAGGATTTATAAATCGCGGACCATTTTCCATTTTCAGTAGTAAAGGTGATTATTGGTACCCCTCTTCTGTGAACGAATTATGCGTAAAAATAGTACGGTTTACACTTAGAGTGTCTCGAGATTTTGTAAATTTACGAATTCTTTAAATCGGCGATCGAAACGGGGACGCTGTTAAAAATGACGGAATGGCACCTTTTACCGGTCTTTAAACGTAAAACTCGACGAAAATGGTATTTTAATATAGTTTCCTTCGAGGTTTAACGAATGGTGTCGCGTAAACGGAGTCGTTCGACTTACAACCGTCTTTACGGCGGTATCAAGGTACACCGTGACCTTGTTAATTAATTGAATCACTTACCGTATGTGTTTCGTTATTTATATTCCACAGAAAATCAACTCTATTTTCAAATTACCCGGTATTGGTAAAGCGATCAGATTTTAATTAACACTAGAACTACCAAGCAAGTCAAATGACTTGTCAATACACTCTTACAACGATGATTGAAATGTTTTGACAATACATTTTCTCAGATCTTTTGCACTTTTTATTACGACATGAAAGTGAAGAAATTAGTCAATTTCTAAATTTCTAAATTTTCGAAAGTTTTTCACGTTTATCCACCGGTCGAAGCAAATATGCGTTTATCGTTCCAGTGTTAAAGTTCTACCGACGAAATTTTCATCTGATAAACGTGTGTACTGACCTCAGGACGGAGAAGACTCGCGCCATCTTTCCAATGGCTCTGATCTTGTTTTTGATTACCTCCCGGCGTAGATTCGCTGCAGCGCCTAAAAAATCGAGGACATCGGGTTAGAACGATCCAATTCTACGAGAGCGTCTCGTACAATATCGACGGTGATCGACGAAATCGCGAAGGCGTCGTACAATATTCGATCGACGGATGATCGAATTTCTAAGTTACTGCTCTAGGCGTCTACGAACACGTTTCAGCGTCAAAACCACTAGCGATCTATCGATCCATTCCTTTCCGACGTTCGTACTCTTAAAGTATCACTAAAAGAAAAAAACACGAGAAGAATAGAAAACAAAAATACGGAATTAATCATTCTAACAGCCTAAACAACGACGTACGCTGCTGAGAATGAGGATTCCGGCCTTCGCGAGATCGACATCACCGATTCGCTCCGCGACTTCGCGTCGCAGGAGGAATCGATCTCGGCGAGAAAACTACGTTATTCATACCACAGCTTACCGGGTACATGTTATTTAAAAAAAAAAAAAAAAAAAAAAAAACAGAAACATAAGTCACTCGTTATTCTCGGGTCTCACGGCAAACAACAAACAGCCAAATACTACAGCCAAAAACTCGGTGCACGCGACGAGCGAGTGCGTATTAGTCTCGACGTTACAGAGAATCGATATTTCACCGTCCAACGGGGAGAATACCATACACATTTTTTACGGGTATCGCTCCTGCGAATCAGTGAGAAAACCCAGTCAAAGGTTTCGGTGAATCGTCGCGATCGTTCGCGATCGACGTTATTCTCCATTTCTCTTGTCAGCGAACCGACCCGTAAACGTTTAACGAGCGCGAACTTTTTACATTGTACCGCGGTACAAGGCGCGAAATCGAGAGAAAAAAATACCACGAGAAAAAGATCGAGAAAAATATCGAATAATCAGCTGAATAGTGTAGGGTTAATACGTAATTGCGTATTTTCATCGCGAGGACAAAAACGCGTTTCGCACGATCGAGAATCGCGAGATTCGAACACGTTTCAACGATCTAGCGTGGACTCATCGAAACCCCGTCAGGTTTTATCTCGGCTCCGTGGACATCAAGTTTCGACACGGAACAGCTGGAGAACCGTAAGGGGAAACCATTGTATACCGGGTGGTTGGAATGTATGCGGTCGAGCTTGTATCGCGTACGAACGGAGTCGTTTGGGAAAATGCGTTTATACTCGTTGAAAGATGGTACTTATTGAAAAATATCATTGGAGTATGAAATTTAACATCTTGATTTTGAATCGGTGTTGCACGTTGGAAAGTCCGGTTGAAAAAAACTCTAGATTCGATGCATAAAAAGTTTTACTTCTTGACACAACTGTGTAATAACGGAGTCCGGCGAAGAGACTATAAAAAGTTAGTAACTGGACAACCGACAGACAGTGGAAGAATTTACTTTATTCTGAACATAATGAAACCCCTCGTTGGAGAAAATACAGGGTGTTCCACAAGCATCTTCAATATCTGATTTGTTTTTGCAGATACAAAAAGAAAAATGTGAAGGGATAAAATTGTTTGGTTTGAAGGAGCAAATACTATGATAAGTAAACATTTGTCTCAAGATCATATTTTTCGAAATTTCAAGGTCATCGATTTTTTTTTAAACAGAAGTACATATCTTTATCAGTGTGGCGTAATAGTTGAGATCAAGACCAATCCAATGACCTACAATAGTGTGACCTTCATGTGACCTTGAGCACGAAAAATCTATAAATATGTGAGTGTAGATTTAAATAATAATAGAATTACTACGATAGAGGGATTAGTATAAACATTTATCGAAGTTGGTGGACATCACTTTGAGCATTTATTCAAATAAATTTCCTGCAAATCTAAAACAAGTGAGATACTAAAGATGCTCACGCTAGGTAGAACACCCTCTATGCTACTATGTCACTTTCAGTCCACAAAAAGGGGAGAATTTACAATAAACTCCGCAATCTACTAACCAACAAAGATTTCTATACAGTTGTACGATTTAACTCGTATTCCCCAGTGTAGTCGCGGTTTAATGGACTCTTGTGAACAATAACCCCAACATAACAGTGTCTCGCGAAACAAACAGAACAGGACTTCTAAACGTTCCGTGTACGTACGATCCACAAATTTGCCCGCATATATTCCCGACACCGTGTATATACACACGCGGTGCCGTATATTTAATATATCTATAGACAGAGTGTGCACGAGGGATAATAGCACAAGCTCATTGCATATAAATGCACGCAGCTACGTACGCGTGCACGTGGTAAACGAAAGCCGTGTGTAAACGTGCGTTATTATAAACCGTATATTATATAGATAGATAACCATATATACATAGATAATTCTTTATCTATATGTATATATATAACTATGTATATACATGTATATACACTACCATCCATAAGTGTCCGGACACAAAACATTGTCGACATTAGAATATTACTATTCTTGAATGAATAAGACTAATAATCATTTTTATCAATTGAACAGCATTGTTTGTCTAATTTTACAATAGTACCAGGTTCTCTTGTCGTTAATTCTTCTTTAGAACTCGAGTTCGCAGTCTCTTGCCGCAGATAAACTCAAACGAATTCTAACGAAACGCCTGCATCGTCTTACCGTCATGTTTCTTTCAATTTACACGACTGATACTCGTCTAAACGCCATAAAAGTACAACAGAAGTTCGAAAAAGGAAGCTGAGACTTATTTCTTCTTTATATGTGTATTCTACCTACATACCTTTTCATTCAATTTTGGTCACGAGTACTTTTATCGATATTATTTCTTAATAAATATCACTTTAATTCTTCTATAACAATTTACTATATTCACTTTCGGTAAGATAAAATTTTATAGGATCACGACACTCTGTTTGGGACCCAATGTTGGGACTAATAACTGAACTATATTTATTTACAGTATGTACAAAAGAGCCTGAGTGCTCTTAAATAAATACAAGGAACCTAATTGTTCACTTAGAGCTCCAACCTAATTGTTGGAGCGTTCTAAAATTTGTCTGTAGATGCGACTGTACCGGACGACTGTTTGCTTGTCAATATCTCTGACTGACTGTCTCACAAAACTATCCGGAAAAATGGTTGCTGGGCCCGTGCATCCCCTCCATGCGTCCTTGGCGCGATACTTTAAAGGAGGGGTTGTCGCAACCCTCTGACGATGGGGTTGGACGGCAGTTCGGCAACATCCTGGACTTTCCCGTCGGTTCCACCTTCCTCTCGCGGTTCCGAGAAACCGTTAAGTCCCCGCACAAAGGTACCGTCCCGAAGTCTGGGGTTTATGACACGTCGATGGTCATGCGGACCCTTCCAAGGTGAGTCTCCTGCACATTTGGTTGCCAAATGTCAGAAACACGTTTCCTTCCGAAGGTTTCCAATCAATTTTAAAAATCCCTGACCGTGTCATAAACCTGTGTTAGCGACGAGCGCTAACAAAATTATAAAAACCAATAAATACGTTTTGTACAGAAATCATTTATAAAAACTCGTAGAACATTTCGCAGATTTTCATCGTTGTATATGTGTTCGGATACTTCTGGATGGTAGTGTATATACATATGTACTTATGTGTCCTACGTGCAGGCCGCGCCGACTGCATATCCAAGGGGGAAGGGGTGGCTGTTTTGTTATGCAAAAATACGAGATGCAAGAGAAAGAGGTCGCATGCACATGCAGGCTTGAGCGCGAGAAACGTACGCACCATCGGTCACTACGGCGCTTTTAACCGGTCGCCGTTGGTTAATTCACCGCTACTTGCCTACTTTCTCGTTCGCATTTTTTTTTTCATTTCGTTTTTTTTTTTTTTTCATTATTGTTCCCTCCGACCCGTATCCACGCGCCAGAAATTTTCCGCGACGCTGCGCCACGCCGCGGCTGGGATTTCAAGCGATCCTGGGGGACTTTCATGGGATTACGGAGGTAGGTTGGCTACACTGGCGGGCCAGCGACACAGTGGTTCTCGATCGTTTCCATTCCCGTGTGCTTTAGTTTCTTGAGATTGAAACTTATGGATATTCTGTATGATTTTTAATAATTGTATATCGTATTTACTCTTTATTGAGAACTGTTGGATCGGGAATTATTTAATATTTATTTGTTTATTATTATATATTTATGTTTATCGAAATGTACGTTACGGCGTTAAATGTTTCATCACGTGAGATATAAAAATGGTATTATGGTATTACGGAAAATTCTCGTTGTAAACTGTCTCGTTTATCCTGTTTGTGATACGAACGCGTAAAGTCCGTAGTTTATGCTGCATTTAGAACAGAAGGGAAGAAATAACTTGTCGCGAACGATGTTCGCGGGTGCACGGTGGAACATTGTGACCTAGAAAGTGTGTTTCCACCGTCTTTTTCGCGTTTCACGCTTTAATTACGCTGTATACAGGAACTGTAATTATAGAGAGAGCGGTGGGAAAACGCGACTGTTATTAAAACTGATCTTCAATTAAAATTGTAAAGGGTTGGAAATGAAAATGCGTAGAATCTTAATGTATGAACATTTAAATAAGCGTGTACGTGATACCCGAATCATTCGTCTAATTTAGTTTTTCCTACTTATCCGCATTATTTTGAAGCCGTTAAATTTTAATCTTCAAGTTCTTGTCCCCATCAATATATTCAACTGTTAATTATTTTAAAAAAATTAGTGACTAATTTAAAAGCATCACTCGGTGTACAACCGTGTAATCATGATTTTTCCACTAAACGAGAACCACTGTGTTTTTACACTAATAACAGAAAAATATCTATTGTATCTAACTATAAAGAAAAGCAGTTAAAAAACGGTTAACCCTAAATCTGTATTATTAATGATAAAACAATTCGAAGGATCAGATCACAAAACGTCCCGAAAATTCTAGGCGCACGGTTACGGGTTAAGAAGCGAACTACTGGTAATTGACTAAATTGCGAGCCACAACGTAAGGGGTTGAAGTCCCGACAGTACAGGGGTGTAGAAAATTGAAGCCTTTCAAATATCGTATCACAGTACCATATTTACCGAAGAGTAACTGGTTGCAGACTTTTAGTCAGCATCGAATCGCACGATCGAAACATTCGAATTTTAGGGGGAGGTTAGGGAGTAACTTGATCCTTACAATTTCTAATCGTTGGATCGTATAGATTATAGATCACCGGATTTCGGCACGCGTTTCGAACTTGGACAAAACCGTACAATTCATGCTGCGTTTTCATTATCGAGTCACGGATCGTTTTAAGCTATCACAACGGTTGTTAGTTCTCTTTTCAATTGTACCAAAAGGAGGTAACGTGTACATCAATATCGGAGTCCCGCGAAAAGTTCCAAACTTAATCCACGAGATCATTTATATACAACGATCCCGGAAGATTCGTTACGGTGACAGGAGAATTTAATTCGCCTTTGATTTTAATGATAATCGAGTGTCATGTATCAACAGGTGTATAGTTGGTTCATCTTTGAAACAAATTAATAGAATTTTAAAAGAACCTAATATAAATTTGACAAAATTTGAACTTAAATCAAAGAAATTCAGTCACTCGGGACTAACGACGCGATTACAGAGTGCACTGGGCTTGATTTTTACATAGAAACGATAATAATAATTAAAAAATAAACAAACAAATTTTATCATACACGATAAATAAACTCTAAAGAATATTATTAAATAGTACGGAAACATTCACTGTGGCTGAAGCAATTTTTGTTGGAGAATATACAGTGTTATAAATAAAACAGCAGAACTTTCCGCGGGATCCGATCCGAATTAGTCGTTGAATTTACAAAATTCATGGTTCTACGGGTAGCTCACACGAGTCGGACGTACGTGAAAATATCGTCCCGGTGTCGTCGTGTTTCCGCTCCCCCAACCGTTCGCGAGTTAAATTTGCGGATGTCAGGGGTTGCGAGGCTATAGCAAATTGGGCAATTCGTCACTCGGAGAGAACAGACTCGGGGTATCAGTGATTCGAGCTGGCCGGACTCGAGTGACCGATTTCTATCCGTGCGCGCGCGCGCCGAATTCGATCGAACGAGCGACAAAATATTGGATGAACTCCGTGAACTGCTTTATCGATCGTAATCTCGCGGCACGATACGAGCAAAGGTACTTTTCTTGATTTATCGTTCGAATTTCTCGCGATCGAGCACGGTGTGTATGGAAAAGCTTCCCGGTGGAATGTGTTTTGCTGGGACTCAAGGGGGGAGGGGGAGAAAATATTTCTGGAATTATACAGGATGTCCGAAAATGATGGGATAATCCGTAACACGCATATTCCTCATGCAAATACAAATCGAAAAGTCCTTTACCTTTTTGTAATCTGAAGTTCCGTTCTCGAGATATTAGAAGTTAAACGAACTCCAATAAGCTGAACGGTCGGCCACGCGTACGCGCAGTTACAGTGAAGAAGCGCGCGACCCAGGTCATTGGTCTGTCTTCGCGCACATGCGGCCAACCGCTCAGCTGATTGGAGTTCGTTTAACTGCTAATATTTCGAAAACGGAGCTTCAGATTACAAAACGGTAAAGGATTTTTTGATTTGTATTTACATGAGGAATATGTATGTCACGGATTTTCTCTTCGTTTTCGGACACCCTGTACATCTGTGGTTATTAGGAAACACGCCGCATGTCAGATGTTTGCACTTTCGAGACATTGTCGTTTAATGAACACTAATTCTTCTTATTACTAATATTTTCTAGTTTTACGATATAAATGTATGCTTCCTACATTCTGCATAATATTCTTCTGTGCACTATATACATTGTTTTTTCTTTGGAAAATACAAGTTACATATTAATAATGTTTTGATTTTATACAAAATAAGATATTGTATAAGCAGATTAATAGAAATAAAAACTACAACGTGATCACAAAAGAAAGATACGAGTAATCGTCGTATTATCCAAATTATGTGGACTTACATTGTTTTACCCGATGCGTATACATTGAATATTGGACTCCAGTTAAATTGCATTATAGTTTTGATTGTATAAAATTGGTTTTCGTGCATTTTTTCCCGATAAACACATAAACCCTATATTCCACAGTTCGATTAATGCGTAAACTCAAATTTCGTTTGAAACTGTGACATGCGGTTGTTCCCTACATCCACAGATATATCCTGCGCGACGCCGCTTTTACCCGGCCAGTGTAAGCGCTGCCGCGCGTTTCTCGATTCTCACGAAAGAAACCTGGGAACTGAACCGGTCCGTCTATGATACCCCAAACGAGCTGGATTACCGAATATCGAAGATTTAACGACAATCTTATACTCTTCTCTCTCTGTTCGATTCGAAGGTTTGTCAAGTCTAATCTGTGTAAATTGAACGTCGATTACCCACTTTAATATCGATTTATCGACTTAAAGAGACGAACAAGAGTGGGAATATGTTCGATAAGTAAGAATCGGAGGTTTTCGAATAATTGCCCGAAATACCAAAGACCTTTCGAATAAACGGGAGTCCTCTGTGCACCGGTTTCTCAACTTCGATCGTCTTCTCGGAAAGAGGATCGCTAAAGGGAGACGAGCATATGAGAATCGGCGTTAAAATCACGGGAGTAGGCTGGGAGATCTGAAAGAATTGTCGACAGGTGGTTTCGAATCCCGTCGAACAAATGGGATTCTCAGCTGACCGGGGATGGTGTACACACGATTTATCGATCATCCTTTTGCATCCTGCGGTTCTCACGAGAAGGACGATGCGGCACATACAACGACGTACGTCACTACTAATTTATACAACAGATCAAGCCTTTTGCTCTCTAGACATTTACGTGTCAGCGCATGAGTACGCACGAGTGGACACACTGTCGCAATGACATTCTGCGCGGACGAACGGGCTCTCTTTTTCTCTCTCTCTCTCGCTCTGTTTCGAGTCGGAGAACAGATTCGGTCGATCCTTCACCGATAAAATCGATCAACACAATCAAATATTTTCAATTCGTTCGCGAAAAAAATTACAAGAAACGTTTAAAAAAAATTACCGTTTGAGATTCATGGTGTCTTTAAGATTCAAGAAAAAAAAGAAATGAAAAAAAAAAGTTCATGTCGATTTTACTCCGCGTCGGAGAAGGAAGCTATTTTCAAGCGACTCGAAGGATTTTAGTGTTCATCCATATCTCGGATCCCGGCCCGCCATTGCGACAGTTTTCTACCGAGCTAACATTTATCATAAGGTGTTCGAGTTCGGCATCGAGTCAGAAACGGAGATCCATCCGTGTCTGGATTCCCGGGGACTCGAGGCTCGTCCGTGGCCGAACGGTTTTTCAGTTGAACTGAACGGACCCGAACGAATAATTCCAATGGAACTACGGACGGGGAGAATCCGCGGAGCCCGTGTACCCGAGTTGAAAAGTGTTCGTCGCAGATCTGTGCTCAAAACACTTATATATTGCGCGGAGCTACTAGTGCTCTATTGTTCTTTGTAGAAGCGTTTCTAAATAGGCGTAGGTTCGCTCTTCGAGCCAACTGTGCACCGGTGGGAATGGATAAAAAATTTCGCGAACAGCGGGAAACGCACAAATTTTTGACGAGATCTCGATTTGGAAAAATGCGATTTTTTTTCTACTGTTTGTTGTTGGCTCGAAGCGTCGATTTCGTGTGTGAAGATCGTTTTGAATACAGGTCCGATGGTTTTCTTTTTTTTTTGGTCTGGATGGATCTCCGTGACTTTCGACGACCATAGGCGCCGCTACTGGGAAATAGACACACCTCGGGGTATGTTCCATAGCCTTCGTTGCCACGCCTATGTCGTTTTTTCGATGCCATCTCACGCGATTTCGCTTGTCAACGGATAGGAAACTTCGCGTACCCAATGGTACTCTGTCTCCGTTCGCACAGGAACGTCGAGGATTGGGTCGTAGAATAACTTGATTCGCTTCTGTATTACACTTTTGTAGCTGTACCAAGTAAGCTACCATTTGCGTTTACTTTCTGATCTTTTTCTTGGTAGAAATTACGTAGAGGATGTAGCTATGACAGCATCAATAGCAAGGAAAGTCTGAAATACGACCCAGTCTTCGAAGTTCTCTTGAAAGGATCTATCGTTTGACTTCAAGGAAGTTGATTAATTTTTGGAAAAAGCCGAGCCTTTGAGACTCGACGGAGACCATTGGGTGCTTGACGTGCTCCTTTCTCGTTTTACGTGGTCGATTCGTGGAGGATTGAAGCTGGGAGGCCTAAACACTTCGCTGAACCCATTGTGTAATTTCACGTTACTTAAAATATCTTTAATATTACAGAATCTCTTAATCTCTTTCGAAATATCGATCAAAATTCTTAACAGTCCAGTTGATTTTATGAGTTAAAGGAGACTCTGCTCATTTCGTTCCAGTTGTTTTTACTCGAATTTAGTTTCGAAAATTTCCAACTCAGTAATTTCGTTTGAAACGTAAAACGGAACAAAAGGTTTTGGGATTTAAAGCGATTCTCGTTGGGCCTCCCGGAACGCCTGGATCTTCCACGATCGTGATCTATGCGCACTTTCAACAGAGAAGAACTCACCGTACGCGATGGTAGGTAGGGTCGTTTTCGGACCAGAACGTCGGGTTACCATCGGGTTACCATGGTGGCCATGGTGCCCATGGTCGGTTTACCGATGGTGAGCGTGGACGTGAGTAAAAGGACAGAAGTAACCAACAATGTGAGAGCAGCGTCAATGCGGCCGAAGAGAAGAGGTAGTGAGAGGCGGAGATGGTAGATTTTTTGTTTGTCGTATTCGAATTTTGTTCGATCGATCGTTCGGACAGTCCGACGAAGGAGGTTCGAATCGTACCGTTATACAGTATTTTTTTTTTTTTTTTTTGGTTTCGAATGGTTGATAGTGGTGGTTGGTGATGGTTGGTTGGTTGGTGGTTGTAGAATGTGGCGTAAAGAAAAGAACACATAGAACAGACAAGAAAAAAAGTGCACAGCGTAAGTGGCATTCAAATCAAGCGTGTGCATTAGATTTTCGAAAATTATTGTGCTTGTTCCCTTAGTACGTGGAGCGATCCATGGTACGTAATTTGAAGTGGTGACGGTAAGCATAATTTGGTATACGATATTGCCAATGTATTCGAAGTGTCACTTCTCACGTACTAAGGAACACATTGGATTTCTTTTCATCTTTTTCTAATTCACAGTGGGCTAAAAATGATGACAATGGGGCAAATGTAGATTGTTCTATGTTTGAAATATAGGTCTGACGAAAATTGGCTATAAGGTAGCAAAATGGTTAATGCATGTTAATCTTTGTTCGGAAAAACAGTTCTGTTTAGCCCACTCTGATTGTAAAAAAATGATTCTTAATTGTACATCAATATTTCTCGACCGAATCTGTAGAATCGAAGAAAAGAAAAATGTCAAATGAACAAGTTTTCAGGCTGTGTATGTGTTAAGTTACAACAGATTCAAGATTCTTATCGATGGGTCACATAATACAAATGGCCGCCATTTTAGCACAAATACGCTTTGTCACCTCGCTACTTTACAGCTTCAAAGAATACACAATTTGCGTTGAAAAATCTAAATACAATTTGTTTCAACTATCTATCCCGGAGAGATAATCAAACACTAACTGAATATCCAATAACAATCGTAGTACTAGTTAAAAAAAATTGACAAGAATACTCAATAATCTTCGAGACGCGGCCATCTTGGATTCGCTGTAACTTCCACACTAAAGCCCGCGAAAATTCAAACTCATTCAACGCTTTTCCCACTTTTCCGCTCTAGATTCGTCGCTCGAAGTGCAATTAAGTATTCAGCGAATATTTTGTTCGTCCAATCTCGATGATATCCGACGAAAATTATCGTTCATCGTCCTCGAATGTCGCTCCATAGATCCAGTTGTCTCGCGGTTGAACGATTTCGCGGAACTCCAGATCGTTAACACGGGGAATCCGAAACACCATTCGAATTTTCCGGA